AGAGAGACACCCAGACCCAGGGCTTGAACCCAGACTCTCAGTGTCTCTGACACGGCCATCGTGAACCCCCTGAGAGAGAGAGAGACACCCAGACCCAGGGCTTGAACCCAGACTCTCAGTGTCTCTGACACGGCCATCGTGAACTGAGAGAGAGACCCAGACCCAGGGCTTGAACCCAGACTCTCAGTGTCTCTGACACGGCCATCGTGAACCCCCTCTGAGAGACACCCAGACCCAGGGCTTGAACCCAGACTCTCAGTGTCTCTGACACGGCCATCGTGAACCCCCTGAGAGAGACACCCAGACCCAGGGCTTGAACCCCGGCTCTCAGTGTCTCTGACACGGACATCGTGAACCCCCTGAGAGAGAGAGACACCCAGACCCAGGGCTTGAACCCAGACTCTCAGTGTCTGTGACACGGCCATCGTGAACCCCCAGAGAGAGAGAGAGACCCAGACCCAGGGTTTGAACCCAGACTCTCAGTGTCTCTGACACGGCCATTATGAACTCTGCGGGTCTTTATGTATCTATCTGTACCAACCCACTCCACCACCCACCCCACCACCCACCAACCCACCAACCCCACCAACCCACCAACCCACCAACCCCACCACCAACTCCACCAACCCACCCACCAACCCACCAACCCCACCACCAACTCCACCAACCCACCCACCAACCCACCAACCCCACCACCAACTCCACCAACCCACCCACCAACTCCACCAACCCACCCACCAACTCCACCAACCCACCCACCAACCCACCCACCAACCCACCCACCAACCCACCCACCCACCCCACCATCACCGCGGAGTCAGACCCAGGCCTCCCATCCGGCGTAGGAGCGGCCCAGCACATTGGGGTCCGTGGCCTGGTCCAGCAGGCAGGCCACCTGCTCCTCCACCGCCAGGCGGGCCGGCGGAGCCCCCGGCCCCACCGGCTGGAAGGCGGCACGGGCGTTGAGGCCCGGCTCTCCCGTGGCGACTTGCAGCATGCCGCGGTAAGAGGCGGTCTTGCCGCTGTGGCCCAGGGAGAGTTCCACACTGGTCGTGGAGGGGGGGGCGGGGTTAGGGTAGTGGTGGTGGTGGTAGTGGTGGTGACGGTGGTGGTGATGGCGATGATGGTGGTGGTGGTGGTGGTGATGATGGTGGTAGTGGTGGCGATGATGGTGGTGGTGGTGGTGGTGACGGTGGTGGTGATGGCGATGATGGTGGTGGTGGTGATGATGGTGGTGGTGACGATGGTGGTAGTGGTGGTGACGATGGTGGTGGTGGTGGCGGCGGTGATGGCGATGATGGTGGTGGTGGTGGTGACGATGGTGGTAGTGGTGTCGGCGGTGGTGGCGGTGGTGATGGGAATGGTGGTGGTGGCGGTGTGGTGGTAGTGGTGGTGGTGTGGTGTGTGGGGTGGTGGTGGTGGTGGGGGTGGTGGTGATGGTGGTGGTGTGGGGGGTGGTAGTGGGGGTGGTGGTGGTGTTGGTTGTGGTGTTGGTGGTGGTGTTGGTTGTGGTGTTGGTGGTGGTGTTGGTGGTGGTGTTGGTTGTGGTGTTGGTGGTAGTGCTGGTGGTGGTGTTGGTTGTGGTGTTGGTTGTGGTGTTGGTGGTGGTGTTGGTTGTGGTGTTGGTGGTGGTGTTGGTTGTGGTGTTGGTGGTGGTGTTGGTTGTGGTGTTGGTGGTGGTGTTGGTGGTGGTGTTGGTTGTGGTGTTGGTGGTGGTGTTGGTTGTGGTGTTGGTGGTGGTGTTGGTGGTGGTGTTGGTTGTGGTGTTGGTGGTGGTGTTGGTTGTGGTGTTGGTGGTGGTGTTGGTGGTGGTGTTGGTTGTGGTGTTGGTGGTGGTGTTGGTTGTGGTGTTGGTGGTGGTGTTGGTAGTGGTGTTGGTTGTGGTGTTGGTTGTGGTGTTGGTGGTGGTGTTGGTGGTGGTGTTGGTTGTGGTGTTAGTTGTGGTGTTGGTGGTGGTGTTGGTGGTGGTGTTGGTTGTGGTGTTGGTGGTGGTGTTGGTGGTGGTGTTGGTTGTGGTGTTGGTGGTGGTGGTGGTGTTGGTTGTGGTGTTGGTGGTGGTGTTGGTGGTGGTGTTGGTGGTGGTGTTGGTTGTGGTGTTAGTTGTGGTGTTGGTGGTGCTCACCACGTGATGTTTGCTGGGTTGTCTCCATTCAGCTTCCTCCGAGCCAACGCGACCCTCTCCCTCGGGAACCACCCACCACCACCGCCACCACCACCACCACCACCGCCACCACCACCACCACCACCGTCACCACCGTCACCACCGTCACCGCCGTCACCGCCATCGCCAGGAGCAGCCAAGACATCCAATTTCCTCACCGCCCGCGCTTCCCATGCCTTCAGCCACGGAGAGCGGGAGGGGAGGCACAGGGAAGGGGGGGGGGGAATAAGGAAGGCCGGGGTCTCTCCGTGTGTCTCTCTGTGTCTATCTGTGTGTGTCTGTGTGTCTGTGTGTGTCTGTGCGTGTCTGTGTGTGTCTGTGTGTCTCTGTGTGTGTCTGTGTGTTTCTGTGTGTGTCTGTGTGTGTCTGTGTTTCTGTGTGTGTCTGTGTGTTTCTGTGTGTGTCTGTGTGTGTCTGTGTGTGTCTGTGTGTGTCTGTGTCTGTGTGTGATTGGAAGGATGCCCTGGTGGTCCCCCTTTTTAAGAAGGGGGACCGCACAGACTGTAACAACTACAGGGGCATCTCACTCCTCAGTGTGCCGGGAAAGGTCCTGGCAAGGATTATTCAGCATCGTCTTGCCAGGCACGCTGAGGAGAGGCTTGCGGAGCCCCAATGCGGTTTCAGGAAAGGGCGGTCCTGCACAGATGCCATATTTTCTGTCCGTCTGCGACAGCAGAGGTGTAGGGAATTCCAACAAGACCTACATCTCTGCTTTATTGACCTGGTCAAGGCCTATGATACCATCAGTAGGCCTGGGCTCTGGGTCGTTCTTCGTGCTTTTGGAGTACCTGACCCTCTGCTTACGATTATTAAAGACCTTCATGATGGTGAGCGGGCCCGGGTAAAACTACGTGGCCGGGAGTCAGAGCCATTCCCTGTACACCTTGGGGTGCGACAGGGATGTCCTCTGGCTCCCACATTATTTAACATCTATTTTGACCACGTAGTTCGTGAAGCCTTCAATAGCTGTACCGGGGGAATCTCCATATGGTACAGATATAATGGGAGGCTGATCGATGCCCGGGTGCGGTCAAGGGATGGCTCCCTATTGCTCAACCACGTTATGTATGCTGATGATTTGGTAATAGCTGCTCAGTCAGAGGAGGAGTTGGAGACGCTGCTGCTGAGACTGGAGCGTGCCACTAAGAGGTGGGGCCTTACCATCAGCCCCACCAAAACTAAGCACCTGCCTGAGTATTTTGTACCATCGGACACTCCACCCCCACAACTCCCAATCGGTGATGGGGCAGTTGTGGAGAGAGTGGAGAGTTTCCCCCATACCTGGGCAGTGTGCTTATGACCGGCTCCAGTTTAACAGCAGAGGTCTCACTCCGAATCAGTTGAGCGGCAATATCTTTTCATTGGTTGCGTAACGCTGTGTGGAAGCTACCTGGTCTGTCGCTCCGCACTAAGCTTCAGGTCTTCTCGGCCACGGTCATTCCCTCCCTTCTCTACGCTTGCGAAACGTGGACCCCCCTAATGGAACATCTTCGCCGGTTAGAAACATTTAGGCTGGCCTGCCTACGATCCATCCTGGGTTTAACCAGACTGGATTGTGTGAGGAGCTCACAAATCCTTGAAAGATCTGGGCAAGGTCCCATCGGTGAGCTCCTCCGGCAGGCAAGGCTGCGATGGCTGGGTCATGTAGCCCGCATGCCCAGCCACCGCATGCCGAAACAGCTTTTGTTCGGCCGGATTGACGTGGCCTCAGGGTGCACATAGCCTGGCACAAGCGTCGTGGTGACGTCACCGCCACTTATTGGCGAATGGCGGTTATTGTTGTTGTTGTGTGTCTCTGTGTGTGTCTGTGTGTGTCTCTCTCTCTGTGTCTCTCCGTGTGTCCGTGTGTCTCTCTGTGTGTCTCTCTGTGTGTCTCTCTGTGTGTCTCTCTGTGTGTCTCTCTGTGTGTCTCTCTGTGTGTCTCTCTGTGTCTCTCCGTGTGTCTCTCTGTGTCTGTGTGTCTCTCTGCGTGTCTCTCCGCGTGTCTCTCCGCGTGTCTCTCCGCGTGTCTCTCCGTGTGTCTCTCTGCATGTCTCTCTGTGTGTCTCTCTGTGTGCCCGTGTGTCTCTCTGTGTGTCCGTGTGTCTCTGTGTGTCCGTGTCTCTCTGTGTGTCTGTGTCTCTCTGTGTGTCTCTGTGTCTCTGTGTCTCTCCGTGCGTCTCTCCGTGTGTCTCTCCGTGTCTCTATGTGTCTCTCTGTGTCTCTGCGTGTCTCTGTGTGTCTCTCTCTCTGTGTGTCTCTGCGTGTCTCTGTGTGTCTCTCTCTCTGTGTGTCTCTGTGTCTCTGTGTGTCTCTGTGTCTCTGTGTGTCTCTGTGTCTCTCTCTGTGTGTCTGTCCCCCCCTGTCCCACGACCTTCCAGTCGAGCGAGGGCTCCTTGATGAACACGTCCATGGCGGTGAGCACGAGGTGCGAGATGTCTCTCTGTGTGTGTCTCTGTCTCTGTGTGTGTGTCTCTGTGTGTGTCTCTGTGTGTGTCTCTGTGTCTCTCTCTGTCTCTGTGTCTCTCTGTGTGTATCTGTGTGTCTCTGTGTGTCTCTGTGTGTCTCTGTGGGACTCTGTGTGTCTCTCTGTGTGTGTGTCTCTCTGGCTCTCTGTGTCTCTGTGTGTGTCTCTGTGTGTGTCTCTGTGTCTCCGTGTCTCCCCCCCCTGTCTCACGACCTTCCAGTCGAGCGAGGGCTCCTTAATGAACACGTCCATGGCGGTGAGCACGAGGTGTGAGACGTCTCTCTGTGTGTCTCTGTGTGTCTCTGTCTGTGTGTCTCTGTGTGTGTCTCTGTGTGTGTCTCTGTGTGTGTCTCTGTGTGTGTCTGTGTGTGTCTCTGTGTCTCTCTCTGTCTCTCTGTGTCTCTCTGTGTGTCTCTGTGTGTCTCTGTGTGTCTCTCTGTGTCTCACGACCTTCCAGTCGAGCGAGGGCTCCTTGATAAACACGTCCATGGCGGTGAGCACGAGGTGCGAGACGTCTCTCTGTGTGTGTCTGTGTCTCTCTGTGTGTCTGTCTCTGTGTGTGTCTCTGTGTGTGTCTCTGTCTCTGTGTGTGTGTCTCTGTGTGTGTCTCTGTGTGTGTCTCTCTGTGTGTCTCTGTGTGTCTCTGTGTGTCTCTGTCTCTCTGTCCCCCCCTGTCCCACTACCTTCCAGTCGAGCGAGGGCTCCTTAATGAACAAGTCCATGGCGGTGAGCACGAGGTGTGAGATGTCTCTCTCTGTGTGTCTCTCTGTCTCTGTGTCTCTCTGTGTCTCTCTGTGTGTCTCTCTGTCTCTGTGTGTCTCTCTGTGTGTCTCTCTGTCTCTGTGTGTCCCACGACCTTCCAGTCGAGCGAGGGCTCCTTAATGAACACGTCCATGGCGGTGAGCACGAGGTGTGAGATGTCTCTCTCTGTGTGTCTCTCTGTGCGTGTCTCTCTGTGTGTCTCTGTGTCTCTGTGTGTCTCTGTCTGTGTGTCTGTGTGTCTCTGTCTCTCACTACCTTCCAGTCGAGCGAGGGCTCCTTAATGAACACGTCCATGGCGGTGAGCACGAGGTGTGAGATGTCTCTCTGTGTGTGTCTGTGTCTCTCTGTGTCTCTCTGTGTCTCTGTGTGTCTCTCTGTGTCTCTCTGTGTCTCTGTGTGTCTCTGTCTCTCTGTGTGTGTGTCTCTCTGTGTGTCTGTGTCTCTGTGTCTCTCTGCGTGTCCCACGACCTTCCAGTCGAGCGAGGGCTCCTTAATGAACACGTCCATGGCGGTGAGCACGAGGTGTGAGATGTCTCTCTGTGTGTGTCTGTGTCTCTCTGTGTCTCTGTGTGTCTCTGTGTGTCTCTGTCTCTCTGTGTGTGTGTCTCTGTGTGTGTCTCTCTGTGTGTCTGTGTCTCTGTGTCTCTCTGCGTGTCCCACGACCTTCCAGTCGAGCGAGGGCTCCTTAATGAACACGTCCATGGCGGTGAGCACGAGGTGCGAGATGTCTCTCTGTGTGTGTCTGTGTCTCTCTGTGTCTCTCTGTGTCTCTCTGTGTCTCTGTGTGTCTCTGTGTGTCTCTGTGTCTCTCTCTGTGTGTCTGTGTCTCTGTGTGTCTGTGTCTCTGTGTCTCTCTGCGTGTCCCACGACCTTCCAGTCGAGCGAGGGCTCCTTGATGAACACGTCCATGGCGGTGAGCACGAGGTGTGAGATGTCTCTCTGTGTGTGTCTGTGTCTCTCTCTGTGTGTGTGTCTCTGTGTCTCTGTGTGTCTCTCTCTGTGTCTCTGTGTGTCTCTCTGTCTCTCTGTGTCTCACGACCTTCCAGTCGAGCGAGGGCTCCTTGATGAACACGTCCATGGCGGTGAGCACGAGGTGTGAGACGTCTCTCTGTGTGTGTCTCTGTGTCTCTGTGTGTGTCTCTCTGTGTGTCTCTGTGTCTCTCTGTGTGTCTGTGTCTCTGTGTGTCTGTGTCTCTGTGTGTCTCTCTGTGTCCCACGACCTTCCAGTCGAGCGAGGGCTCCTTAATGAACACGTCCATGGCGGTGAGCACGAGGTGTGAGACGTCTCTCTGTGTGTCTCTCTCTGGCTCTCTGTGTCTCTGTGTGTGTCTCTGTGTGTGTCTCTGTGTGTGTCTCTGTGTGTCTCTCTGTCTCTCTCTGTGTGTCTCTGTCTCTGTGTGTCCCACGACCTTCCAGTCGAGCGAGGGCTCCTTGATGAACACGTCCATGGCGGTGAGCACGAGGTGTGAGACGTCTCTCTGTGTGTGTCTCTCTGTGTCTCTGTGTGTCTCTGTGTCTCTCTGTGTGTCTCTCTGTGTCTCTGTGTGTCTCTGGCTCTCTGTGTCTCTGTGTCTCTCTGTGTATCTCTGTCTCCCCCCCCTGTCTCCCACGACCTTCCAGTCGAGCGAGGGCTCCTTGATGAACACGTCCATGGCGGTGAGCACGAGGTGCGAGACGTCTCTCTGTGTGTGTCTCTCTGTGTGTGTCTCTCTGTCTCTCTGTGTGTCTCTCTGTCTCTCTGTGTGTGTCTCTCTCTCTGTCTGTCTCTGTCTCCCTCGTGTGTCCCACGACCTTCCAGTCGAGCGAGGGCTCCTTGATGAACACGTCCATGGCGGTGAGCACGAGGTGCGAGATGTCTCTCTCTGTGTCTCTGTGTGTGTGTCTCTCTGTGTCTCTCTCTGTGTGTCTGTGTCTCTGTGTGTCCCACTACCTTCCAGTCGAGCGAGGGCTCCTTGATGAACACGTCCATGGCGGTGAGCACGAGGTGCGAGACGTCTCTCTCTGTGTGTGTCTCTGTGTGTCTCTGTGTGTCTGTGTGTCTCTGTGTGTCTCTGTCTCTCTGTGTGTGTGTCTCTGTGTGTGTCTTTCTCTGTGTGTCTCTCTCTGTCTCTCTCTGTGTCTCTGTGTGTCTGTGTGTCCCACTACCTTCCAGTCGAGCGAGGGCTCCTTGATGAACACGTCCATGGCGGTGAGCACGAGGTGTGAGCGTGCCCTGAAGGCCCTCAGGCTGCAGGCCATGGCACTATGCAGACCACCGCCGGTGCCGACCGGCGCCAGGGCCCCCAACAGCTGGCGCGTCAGGCGGAACGGCACCAGCTCAGGCGTGGACAGGAACTGGGAGGAGGAGGGGGGAGAGATTACAGCGGTGGCACGTGTTCTGTTGTGGTGTTGTGGTGGTGTTGTTGGGTGTGTTGTGTGTTGTGTTGTGGGTTGTTGTGGTGTGGTTGTTGTGTTGTGTTGTGGTGTTGTTGTTGTGTTGTTGTTGTGTTGTGTTGTTCTGTTGTTGTGTTTGTTGTTGTGTGTTGTTGTGTTGTTGTGTTGTTGTTGTTCTGTTGTTGTGTTGTTATTGTTGTTGTTGTGTTGTTGTATTGTGTTGTTGTTGTGTGTTGTTGTTCTATTGTTGTGTTGTTCTGTTGTTGTGTTGTTCTGCTGTTGTGTTGTTGTTCTGTTGTTGTTGTTGTGGTTGTTGTTGTGTGTTGTTGTGTTGTTCTGTTGTCGTGTTGTTGTTGTTCTGTTGTTGTTGTGGTTGTTGTTGTGTGTTGTTGTGTTGTTCTGTTGTTGTGTTGTTGTTGTGTTGTTGTTGTGTTGTTCTGTTGTTGTGTTGTTGTTGTGTTGTTCTGTTGTTGTGTTATTGTTGTGTTGTTGCTGTGTGTTGTTGTGTTGTTGTTGTGTTGTTGTGTTGTTCTGTTGTTGTGTTGTGTTGTTCTGTTGTGTTGTTGTTCTGTTGTGGTGTTGTTCTGTTGTTGTTGTGTTGTTGTTGTGTTGTTGTGTTGTGTTGTTGTTCTGTTGTTGTTGTGTTGTTGTTCTGTTGTGGTGTTGTTGTGTTGTTGTTTTGTTCTGTTGTTGTGTTGTTGTTGTGTTGTTGTTGTGCCGCTCCCCTGTTATTGTTGTGTTGTTCCGTTGTTGTTCTTCGTTTGGCGTTGCATCACCACACCCACGGTACCCCCACCACCACCACCACACCCAACCCATTGCCCCACCGTGCCCACCGTGCCCACCGTGCCCCACCTTGCCCCCAGTGCCCCACCGCGCCCCACCACCGCACCTGCGTGGCGGTGCCGAAGGCGTGCCCGAAGTCGATGCCCACCAGCGCCCCCGAGCGCCGCTCCACCATGACGTTGGAGAGGTGGCGGTCGCCCACTCCCAGCAGCCAGTGCGCCGTTGCCATGGCGCCCAGGGAGCGTGCCAGGGCGGCACGCAGGGCCACGAACTCGGCGGCGCCGCCGCCGCCGCCGGCCGCGGCCGCCGTGCCCAGACGCAGGTAGGCACGCCTGGCACGGCGTGGGGGGTGGAGGGTGGTGAGGGTCAGGGCAAAAGTCTCGGTGTGAACCTCCCCACCCAGAGAGAGAGAGAGACACCCAGACCCAGGGCTTGAACCCAGACTCTCAGTAATCTCTGGCTTAGTGAACCCCCTGAGAGAGAGAGACACCCAGACCCAGGGCTTGAACCCAGACTCTCAGTGATCTCTGGCTTAGTGAACCCCCTGAGAGAGAGACACCCAGACCCAGGGCTTGAACCCAGGCTCTCAGTGATCTCTGACACGGCCATTGTGAACCCCCTGAGAGAGAGAGAGACACCCAGACCCAGGGCTTGAACCCAGACTCTCAGTGTCTCTGACATGGCCATCGTGAACCTCCTGAGAGAGAGAGACACCCAGACCCAGGGCTTGAACCCAGACTCTCAGTGTCTCTGACACGGACATCGTGAACCCCCTGAGAGAGAGAGAGACACCCAGACCCAGGGCTTGAACCCAGACTCTCAGTGTCTCTGACACGGACATCGTGAACCCCCTGAGAGAGAGAGAGACACCCAGACCCAGGGCTTGAACCCAGACTCTCTGTGTCTCTGACACGGACATCGTGAACCCCCTGAGAGAGAGACACCCAGACCCAGGGCTTGAACCCAGACTCTCAGTGTCTCTGGCTTAGTGAACCCCCTGAGAGAGAGAGACACCCAGACCCAGGGCTTGAACCCAGACTCTCAGTGTCTCTGACACGGCCATCGTGAACCCCCTGAGAGAGAGAGACACCCAGACCCAGGGCTTGAACCCAGGCTCTCAGTGTCTCTGACACGGCCATCGTGAACCCCCCTGAGAGAGAGAGACACCCAGACCCAGGGCTTGAACCCAGGCTCTCAGTGTCTCTGACACGGCCATCGTGAACTCTTTGAGAGAGAGAGACACCCAGACCCAGGGCTTGAACCCAGGCTCTCAGTGTCTCTGACACGGCCATCGTGAACCCCCTGAGAGAGAGAGACACCCAGACCCAGGGCTTGAACCCAGACTCTCAGTGTCTATGACACGGCCATCGTGAACCCCCTGAGAGAGACACCCAGACCCAGGGCTTGAACCCAGACTCTCAGTCTCTGACACGGCCATCGTGAATCCCCTGAGAGAGACACCCAGACCCAGGGCTTGAACCCAGACTCTCAGTGTCTCTGACACGGCCATCGTGAACCCCCTGAGAGAGAGAGACACCCAGACCCAGGGCTTGAACCCAGACTCTCAGTGTCTCTGACACGGCCATCGTGAACCCCCTGAGACAGAGAGAGACACCCAGACCCAGGGCTTGAACCCAGACTCTCAGTGTTTCTGGCTTTTTGAACCCCCTGAAAAAGAGAGACACCCAGACCCAGGGCTTGAACCCAGACTCTCAGTGTCTCTGACACAGCCATCGTGAACCCCCTGAGAGAGAGAGACACCCAGACCCAGGGCTTGAACCCAGTCTCTCAGTCTCTCTGACACGGCCATCGTGAACCCCCTGAGAGAGAGAGACACCCAGACCCAGGGCTTGAACCCAGACTCTCAGTGTCTCTGACACGGCCATCGTGAACCCCCTGAGAGAGAGAGAGACACCCAGACCCAGGGCTTGAACCCAGACTCTCAGTGTCTCTGACACGGCCATCGTGAACTAACCCTCCCACCTGAGCAGGTCGGCTGGCAGGAGGCTCTCAATCTTCCGGAACTCCGTGACCGTCTCCGACCTGCTCGGCTTCCTACAACGACAACAATGACGCCAGTGGGTCCGTGCCAGGCTAGGTGCACCTCCCGCTGACACCGCGACGTTGCGGAGGGGGGGGGCGGCAGCAGTGGCGTCGTTGCCACGGCAACCGCTCCTTTGGCTTCGGCTCGGCGATGGATTTCCCGCCGTCGAGAGCCGTCGTCACCGTCGTTACCGTCGTTACCGTCGTCACTGTCGTTACCGTGGTTACCCTGGTCATCGTCATCGTCACCGTGGTCACCGTCATCGTCACCATGGTCACCACCATCGTCACCATGGTCACCACCATCGTCACCATGGTCACCGCCATCGTCACCATGGCCACCGTCATCGTCACCGTGGTCACCGTCATCGTCACCATGGTCACCACCATCGTCACCATGGTCACCACCATCGTCACCATGGTCACCGCCATCGTCACCATGGCCACCGTCATCGTCACCATGGTCACCGTCATCGTCACCATGGTCACCGTCATCGTCACCGTGGTCACCGTCATCATCACCGTGGTCATCTTCATCGTCACCGTGGTCACCGTCATCGTCACCATGGTCACCATCATCGTCACCATGGTCACCACCATCGTCACCGTGGTCACCATCATCATCACCGTGGTCACCATGGTCACCATCATCGTCACCATGGTCACCACCATCGTCACCGTGGTCACCATCATCGTCACCGTGGTCACCATCATCGTCACCGTGGTCACCATCATCGTCACCGTGGTCACCGTCATCGTCACCGTGGTCACCGTCATCGTCACCACGGTCACCGTCATTGTCACCATGGTCACCATCATCGTCACCATGGTCACCGTCATCGTCACAGTGGTCACCATCATCGTCACCGTGGTCACCATCATCGTCACCATGGTCACCGTCATCGTCACCACGGTCACCATCATCGTCACCATGGTCACCATGATCGTCACCATGGCCACCGTCATCGTCACCGTGGTCACCGTCATCGTCACCGTGGTCACCATCATCGTCACCGTGGTCACCGTCATCGTCACCGTTGTCACCATCATCGTCACCATGGTCACCATCATCGTCACCATGGTCACCGTCATCGTCACAGTGGTCACCATCATCGTCACCACGGTCACCTTTATCGTCACCATGGTCAACGTCATCGTCACCATGGTCACCATCATCGTCATCACCATGGTCACCGTCATCGTCACCATGGTCACCACCATCACCGTGGTCACCATCATCGTCACCGTGGTCACCATCATCGTCACCGTGGTCACCATCATCGTCACCGTGGTCACCACCATCGTCACCGTGGTCACCATCATCGTCACCACGGTCACCATCATCATCACAGTGTTCACCATCGTCATCACCGTGGTCACCACCATCGTCATCACCATGGTCACCATCATCGTCACCGTGGTCACCACCATCGTCATCACCGTGGTCACAACGACAACGACGACAACACAAAAGCGATGTAACGGGGCCAGGCGCTCCGCGCCGACACCGGCGGCTACTCACGTGAAGATGTTCTGGTAGCCATTGTAGCGGCGAACGTACGACTCATAGTCGTCCTTCGCCCTGCAGAAGCAAACACGGAAGACGCTTTACCCCACGTGGTGATCCACGTGCACCACGTGCACCACGTGATCCACGTGCACCACGTGCACCACGTGCACCACGTGATCAACGTGCACCACGTGCACCACGTGATCCACGTGCACCAAGTGATCCACGTGATCCACGTCCATCACGTGATCCACGTGCACCACGTGATCCACGTGCACCACGTGATCCACGTGCACCACGTGCACCACGTGATCCACGTGCACCACGTGCACCACGTGATCC